CAATTACGGGAATAACTTGTCAAACTATATTTACTATTAAAGTGAAGTGAAACCCCCCTCATATCAGTCGATTCGAATAAGAAACTTTTTTTTAAAGGTATTGGATAGAACTGTCCGAAACTTTGACACATGACTCGTGAGCACCTAGGAATTATCCTAACACTTTGAAAATTTCGATTTTGTAACAAATTTTATAACTTAGTCCAGACGAGAAACAGAACGGCGTCGAGCTCTCATATTTCAAGCTATATCCAATTATTAAAGGCTCTAACATGAGAAACAAAAGTGTCAGGACAACTGTACGACAATTTGCAACACTCTAGTAATCGATAAACTAAAATTTGAACGGGATAAAGGCAAAAAAAGTGTCTTATACGCTGCTATGCTCAAACGAAGATAACACGAGGTTCAGGAGAGAAAATTTAGTTGACCCTAAAATCCCAGATGACGCAGGGTGCACTCTGCAGTCAATTAGGGCATGAAAACCATGAATTCACAAGATTTTTTAAGTTTTGCTTCGATTTTTTTATAAATATTGTACGGATTCGACATATGCAGTACGCCATATAGTACAATATCCGATATACTTCGAGACGGATTTCGATATAAATACGAACGTCGGCGACGTAGGTATTTAAAAAAATCGGTTTTACCGACGTCGATCATGTACCTCGACGTGTTCCACTTCACCTTAACTGGAGACTTATTTTTTAATAAATAAAGGAATCGTTTTATATACTTATGGGTATGTTGAAAAAGTACGAAAGGACGAAGAACTGCATTTCCAAGGATGCTTGAGAATGCGTAGGTGCGGTAACATAGGTATTTAGAAAAATCGTTTTTACTGACGTCGATCAAGTACCTCGACATGTTTCATTTCATCTTAACTAGAGACGAATTATTTACTAAATAAAGGAATCGTTTTATATTCTTATGGGTATGTTGAAAAAGTACGAAAAGACGAAGAACTGCATTTCCAAGGATGCTAGGGAATGCGTAGGTGCAGCAACATAGGTATTTAGAAAAATCGTTTTTACTGACGTCGATCAAGTACTTCGACGTGTTTCACTTCACCTTAACTGGAGACTTATTGTTTAAAAAATAAAGGAATCGTTTTATATACTTATGGGTATGTTGAAAAAGTACGAAAAGACGAAGAACAGCATTTCCAAGGATGTTTGGGAATGCGTGAAATGCAGGTGCATCTGCATTTACGATACGGTCGCTTTTCAGCGGTTCCTAGGGATCTTCGCGCGAGATTTTATGCAATCCTCTCCTTAACTGGGATCCCCTGGACCAGCTCGCAGCTTCCGCTCCCTCAACAGCTAGAGAAAATCCCGTGAGGTCTGCAAAGCTTACACGAGGAAGGTTTCAACGGACGGCTGTCCCAAAGGAATGTCCCGGAAGGAAAAACTCAAAGAAAATCGGAAGACATTCCAAGGATGCTTTCGCTGCTTGATTCTCGAGACATAGATCTGAGGACATCGGAGAAAAATGCGCTTTTCCGGAAGACTGGAAATTTCTCAACCGATCTTATGAAACGTAAATGACGTTCAACGAAAAACAACAGGTTAAATGACTAAAAATTCCTGTCGGCTAGTTTTCTTTTTTTAATCCGCATCCGACACTAATAAGCTCCGTTCGGAAATTCAGAGTGTCAGGCTTGTTTAGAGAAATAAATATAAACAATTGCGGCAATAGATACAGATATTTCGACGCACAAATGAAGGAGTAATTTCGTAATTTAATTATCTCGCTGTTAAGAATGGTGAAATGAAGCAAAGGCAAGTGTATGGCTGCTTTGCTAAGAAGATACTTTCCAATTCATTTAGATACTTTATCAACAGTATTCTGTGGAAAGGAATTATTTATAAGATTTTATTGAAAAGGTCGTCAAAGAGTTTATATTAAAACAAAGCAAACCCCTTGAACGCCCATTTTTGGTTCTATAAGGAAGAAATGTACTTGAAGTGTAGCTCTTTGCATGTCACCATTCGTAAAGATGATACAAGTTATTTTCGAAGATGGAATCCTATTTTCTTTTTAGTTATCTCGCTCATTAAGGCGAAGTGAAACACGTCGAGGAACTTTTTTCTAAATGCCTACGTTGCCGATGTTCGTTTTTCTATTGACCGCTGTGTCGAATTATATTGGTTATTGTACCAAATGGCATACTCCACCTGTCGTTTTCGTACAATAAATATCAAGAAATCAAAGTAAAACTCCAGAAATCCTCTGGATTCGTGCTTTCTGGGGCCCTAATTGACTGCAGAGGGACCCCCTGCGCCATCTGTGATTTCCAGGTCAATTAAATTTTCACTCCGAGACCTCGTATTCCCCTCGTTTTAGCATAAAAACGCAGACAACACTTTTTTTGCCTTTATCCCGATCAAATGCGAGTTTATCGTTTACCAGAGTGTTCTAAATTGTCGTAAAATTGTCCTGACCCTTTCGTTTCTCATATCAGAGCCTTCGATAATTGTATGTTGATCGAAATATGAGAGCTCGACGCCATTTTGGTTTTGGCCTGGGCTAAGTTAAAAAATTTTTTCCAAAAATCGAAATTTCAAATGTGTCAGGAGAATTCTTAGATGATCAGGAGTGACGTGTCAACGTTTCGGACAGTTTGGTCTAATACCCTTAAAAAAAATGTGTTGTATTCGAATCGACTGATTTGAAGGGGGTTTCACTTCACCTTAAACGCCCATAAAATACCCAGGTTTGAAAAAAACCTCGTAATTAAATATGATTAATAAGTAATGTCTGTTTATACCCGACGTTGCACGTTTTCGATAGAGAATAGAAATGCCTAGCTCTTGTCGCTTGATAATACCGGTATATCTGTTTCACCGAGTTACCAGCTTTTGGAAATTGCGGTTCCTTCGGATACCCTCGAGTTCCCGCAGTATCAAGTAACTTGGACATGGATTAAACTGGAGCACTTGGCGACGTAAACCGAGTTTAATCCGATGTACATATACTCGAGGTAGTTATTTTCCATGTGGCGCGAGTGATAAGATTATTCCTCGCTGGGGGTACTAATCTGTACGATACCGCGAGCGAGGAATCGACGTCGGCAATTCGCGGGGAAGGTCGAAGAGTCGGCTTTGATAAGTCAAAACAAAAAGCGAGAACACTTGCGGTGAACGCGAGAGCGAAAAAGACTGCCGGGTGATATGGCAATCGTTGTAATCATTGTTGCTCGATCGGACCCCCCGCAGCAATTGCATCACCCAACATTAGATGACCCTTGGGAAGAAAAACATTTCTCTCTTGGCAACCGAGTTTGCATCCGATTGACCAATACGGTTATCAGCGGCCGTCAGGAGATTTCATTTTTCGACCAATGTTCTAAATATGTCTTAAACAAATAGTCTGTAAGTAAAGCATGGAAATCCACTGGCTACATCGTTTAAAAAATGTAAGTAAAATGTTGAACACATCTAAATCATGTAAGGATGGATCATTTTTAATCCGTCTACATAATTGTAGTAATAAATAGTGTTTCATCGAATTAAAAGAAGTTAATTGTGCCCATAATTATGAAAGTGGTCTAAGTTAAAATAAAAAAAAAATGAGTTCATCAGTTATTTCACGCCATATTATTTCAAACGAAATTAATTCAATGTAATTTCGAAACAAAAAATATATGACTTAGACCACTTTCATAATTATGGGCACAATTGATCTCAGTTTCCATCGAATTTACCAAATAAATTCAATTCAATTGAGTGAATAAAATTTCCAAAAGTTACGTTTTACCTCGACTAAAATTCTACTATAGTAGTTTGTGTTTGGTTGTAATGTTAAAATAAATCTAAAACAAATGTTAGAGTAGATTAACTTACAGTAAAGGCCTAATGCTTATAATTCGTAAATTAATTGGACCCGGCAATTCTGAAACCTTTTTCCTCTTTTCCCCAAAAAGGTTCCTCTCGCGTGTCATTCCCTGTAATTTCATAAAAACTTCCCCTCCCTTGCCATAATTCATTTATGTCGGCATAATGACATCGTTAGAAATGCTGTCTTCTCGCTTTTTCCTCGAATCATTATTCCAGACACGAGCTTGCTCACAATCAATATTTTAACAAACACGGTTTGTACGACAGTTGTATAAAACATTCATTGTTCCATAAGAACGCATCAATGAGAACGTCAAACAACGTTATGTCTGTAATACGCTAATAAAACGATAAAATACTCTCTAAAAAAATACTAAATAGTTTACTATTTTCGTATACTATTATTCAGGAAATAATTAAATGATTTAAATCGTTAGAACGTTAGATTCGAGAAAGTAAAAGTTGGATAAAAAGATGATAAAACAAAAAGCGCTGGAATTGCGTGTTGAGAAAACAATTTAAAAAATAACTTCTAAACGAATAATAGAAAAAGACGCCTAAATGAATGTACTATGGTGTACTCTTGAACGTGTGAGAACACTCTAAAACGACTTTCTTCGACTCAAAAACAATTTCATGGCAACCCTTTCTCGAGTTTCAGAAAAGACGAAACAAAGGGAAAGAGATAGACTTCCGAGTACAACGGACGTAGAACGGATGTAGAACGGACGTAGAACGGACGTAGAACGGACGTAGAACGGACGTAGAACAGATTTACTTCGGTCTAATCTGCAGGCAGACAGTGAAACAATTATTAATACCGTGCAGTTAATTATTTAGACGTTGTAACTGGTATAATGATTATTGTAAACCAGCAAGTATACCGCATTCGCATTTTGACGCACTCGTGACACGATAAGAGTAGGCCAACTACGATACACAAACGAAGTAAAAAACATACTAACGAAATATAACAATCGAGGCCTTATCCGGCTTTGTACGCAACGTGGCTTCTCACATTTGTCATTGCGACAGAATGACGTTTTCGCGTTATTTTTCGTGTGAAGTTCTATCCTGGCAAAACACTCAGGGAGCGGCAGAGCTCTGCCTTACCGACACAGCTGCGCACTATATGTATATAAGGCAGAGAAGCGAGTCAGATAAGACAGTCGGTAGTAAGCCAGTCGTACGGTTCGATTCGTCAGCGTCTAACCGTCCGTTACTACATTAGCAGCACGCGAGTTCAAGGTAAATTCTGGAAATTAATTACATTCCAGACACGTTTATAAGTAATTAAATTACTAACTGAAATTAAAATAACGAAATAAGCCGATTTTGGTAGATGCAAGCGTCTAATCGCTTGTTACTATATTAATAGCACGCGAGTTCAAGGTAAATTCTGGAAATTAATTACATTCCAGACACGTTTATAAGTAATTAAATTACCAATTGAAATGAAAACAACGAAATAAGCCAACATTGGTGAACCGAATAAAACTATGAAGACCAAAATGTAATCGAAAAGTAGATTAATCCTTTTCCTAGGAGAAGAGTAAATTTTCAGCATCTCAAGGAAGACAGTACGGAGCAAAATTTATTTATCGACCTTCCGAAGCAAATATTGCTTATCGGTTTGTCTCGCAATTTTCCGTGGCAAAGGTGTTCTCCGCTGATTGTATTAAATATAATTGGTGCTACCAATTCCTTCTATAGAAAATAAGTAATTGAATTAACAGAACCAACGAGGCAAATAGAGTAAACAGGGCCGGTTGTGAAACTTGTAGTCGGTGACCTTGAATGTAGACAAACATGGCCCAAGTGTGTCGTTTTATTCTAAACCCGCCTGAAAATTCGTGTTGGCAATATCTCGCGAAATATCGTCCTTGTCAGCTTTTTGATACGATGCGCGAATGTTATGTACAAAAATTATGCACGCCTGTACCATATCTTATCGTCCAGAGCAGCTTTAAAAAGCATGCGGCTAAGGGCACCGAGAAACTGAAATAATTTCGGAATATTTTTACGGTAGGAAAAAATATTCCGTATACCATGTTTAATTAAATCCTTAACCCTTTGACCACGGAGCCATTTCGACATATGGGCGAAATTCGTCTGACCGTGGAGGCAATATTGGACCAAACGTCGGGCGCCTTTAGGCGTCATAGTAGCCAAAGGGTTAAAATATGTGTTACATTTATTATAAACGTGCACGTAATTTATATATATCAGCGCGATACACGGAAAAGTGCAAATCTCTCAAAGGACAAGAAATACCAAGAATTTAACGTAATTTGGCAGCACAGTATTTATTTATTATTTATAGACTGCATAAACGATTTAGCATCGTTTTAAAGAAAGATTTCTCTTATAAATTGTAGAAATTCAACGTAGTTTCAAGAATATAATGGAATAGGATAAAATAGGAGTCCCTGTAATGCAGTACTCTTATTACGCGCTTCTTATTGCGATACTGAGGAAATGGTTTTATTTTATTTGTCTTGTCACGTTTATTATGCATATGATGCTTTTATGTTTAAGCGACACATATCTTACCTAATCATTTACCTAACGATATATGATCTACAGAAGATTCGAGGCTTTCATGCCGGTAATTAATACTGTAACCTTGAGTGCTCTAGTAAACATCGCCGACTTTTAATCTTATTTTAAGTCAAGATTAAAATAAATATACACCTCGGCTAATAGAACGTAATAATAATTTAATTCAATGTAATTTCGAAACAAAAAATATATGACTTAGACCACTTTCATAATTATGGGCACAATTGATCTCAGTTTCCATCGAATTTACCAAATAAATTCAATTCAATTGAGTGAATAAAANAAAATAAAAATTTCTTCTTAAATTCTCACTCGCGTTACTCAAGCTACTCGAAAAAGAAAACAACTTCTGCCAAGAAAATGTTAGTTTGGACTTCAGTGCCCGAATGTAATGATAAATGTGTATCTTCAACGATAAGCCAATGATAATACTTGCAAATATCCCGGAATTATGAAAATGAATTCGTAAAGGATTTCCTTCATACGACGTAAAAATTTGTGGTACAAGCGCTCATCTTATAAAACTATTCTCAACATTTCATACATATTAAAAAAAAAAAGCAAAATAATATTAGTCGGAAATGCATAATTAACTGGATACTCGTTTTTTTTTTTTTTAAGAACACTTCTTACAGTATTAATTATTTCTTCCGTAAGATGTGCTCGGTTTATTTGTGCAATTTCAATGCACATATACGATTATTTTTTTAATGATTTTTCCGTATATTCTGTTCGCAGAAAAATCATGTCGGTCACCATAAACAGCATTTTAATCAGCGATGCAGTGGACGAGTCTTGTGTCGCTTTATTGACCAGCCATGGAGTTCCGGTAACAACTAAGTACAAGATACCTAAGGAGGAATTGCTCAAAGAAATTAAGGTAAGTCTTGAGGCTATATTTCCTAATCCACCTTATTTTGTATTGGAAACTATTTACCGTTTTTGCTGCGGAAAGTAATCAACTTTTGTCGATTTTGTTACATACACTCATTTCTTAAACGCTCCCTATTAATTCCGGAACTGGAATGTAGAATAATCCATAATTGAAGAAAACTTAGTCATCTTGTAGTGGAAATGACAATAATTAAATTTAAAAAAAAATACAAATAATAACATTCAACGTTTGTCTTCGACTCAAAAACAATTTCATGGCAACCCTTTCTCGAGTTTCAGAAAAGACGAAACAAAGGGANATAACATTCAACGTTTGTCATCGCGCCGATTTCCTTGATAATATTGTAGGAATGAAAAGATGTAAATGAAATTAAAGAGAAGCATTATTTAAAAAAGCGAATTAACCAGAAAATATTGTTACTAAACATTAGAGTTTTGTTGCAATATCCCTGCGCTTTAATTATCAATCCGCGGAGCCTAAAGAACGAAAGTCAAATTAATGAAATTAATAGAAGAAATATGAAGAAAAATGTGAAACAATTGTAATTGTAATGAAGCGATGGATAACTGTATAAATCTCGTACATAGGTAGGTATTACTTATGTATATACAAAATTGCGATTAATGGTGGTCAGCACTTCCGGTCACTGTGTATGTATCTTAGATGAGCGGGCAAATTGCACGAAGGTGTATGAAATGAAGGATAATAGATGAGTAAAAATGTAAGAAAGATGCAGAAGAAAGAAATAGAAAATAACCAGATATGTATATAACCGCTACAAGTAACAAGACCACGGTCGTTGAATGCATAATTGTCGGCTGACAAAGTTTAAAAGAAAAAGGTCGTTATAGATTGGATAAGAAAAGGACAAGATGTTAAAGTTAAGTGGAAGCTGGGGGAAGAGAAACTTAAGTGAAGTGGAAGAAAAAGGAATACCCAGGCGACTCCGATAAAAGTGCATAGGAATAAGTAATAGCTTATCGATCGCTGAGTGCCACGATACCTTCCGACATAAATTCTATGAAAAGGTGTATGACATGGAAGAAGAAAGAGGATTCGCAAAAAGTAAGGTTAATTACCAATCAGACGCCTCCAGGAATAAATAACATAATTATATGTATAATCATTGGCCGATGCAAAAGTTGGGTATGCAAATCTTCATATAGATGAAAAAGAAAGCATCGAAAAGATATCAGAAAAGTGTAAAGTACCGAGGGATATGTAGGAAAAATGACTAATCAGTTGATTTCACGGAAAATCATACGCTGATAAGTAATGCCGGGTCGATCATTCATAATCATTATCCGGCATTAAAGCTGCGTGAGGAAAACTTCTTATTAAGGAAAAAGAAAGCGCTGGAAAGATAAAGAAAAATGTGGAGCACGCGGGAGAGAAGAAAAATGATGAACAAGATGATTTACGCATAAGTAATGGTATTCCGATTACTGAGGGAATATATAAAAAATCACCGGTTAGATCAATGTTCCTACGGTCGTAGCATTCGGAGTGGAAAGGAAACCAGGATAGAACAGCGTGGAATATTGAGAGAAAATGCATGAAATATGAATAGCTCGATGATTACGCGAAAAATCACGTACTCGCAAGTGGTAGCATTCGGGACACAGGGTGCATAATCGCCGACGGAGAAAAAATTACACCAGTTGAGATCCAGTTTCTCCTCTCGCGAATCGGACAGGCTGGTTATAACCAGTTCTCTCTCTACGGATTCCGGTTTGCTTGGGTCGTTGTACTGGTTTTACTTTCTCGTCGCGACTGCACCTTTGCACTGTGCTCCGTCTCTCTCTGACTCCCTAGGCCTCGTATCTCTCTGTCCCTCTCCGCTTCCCTGAATATCTCGACTGTCTCCTACGGCTCGGCTCGCTAATGGCGGAAAAATCGCTCTTCCGCGATAGATAGCTACATTGTTCTTGCAAGTGGACTTCGATCGATCGTGAACTGTAAAATTTACCCATAAATATCAATTAAATAATTGAAAAGAAATTAATTCAATGAACTACAAAGTACAAGAATAATTAGTGAATAATCCTTTACGGGCACATAATGGCGGAAAAATCACTCTTTCGTGATAGATAGCTACATTGTTCTTGCAACTGGACTTCGATCGATCGTGAACTATAGAACTTACTCATAAATATCAAATAAATCATTGAAAAGAAATTAATTGAATTAACTACAAAGTACGAGAATAATTAGAGAATAATCGTTTACGGGTACATAATGGCGGAAAAATCACTCTTTCGTGATAGATAGCTACATTGTTCTTGCAACTGGACTTCGATCGATCGTGAACTATAGAACTTACCCATAAATATCAAATAAATCATGGAAAATAAATTAATTGAATTAACTACAAAGTACAAGAATAATTAGTGGATAATCCTTTACGGGTACATAATGGCGGAAAGATCACTCTTCCGCGATAAATAGCTACATTGTTCTTGCAAGTGGACTTCGATCGATCGTGAACTGTTGAATTTACCCAGAAATATCAAATAAATCATCGAAAAGAAATTAATTGAATTAACTACAAAGTACGAGAATAATTAGTGAATAATCCTTTACGGGTACATAATGGCGGAAAAATCGCTCTTCCGCGATAGATAGCTACATTGTTCTTGCAAGTGGACTTCGATCTATCGTGAACTATAGAACTTACCCATAAATATCAAATAAATCATTGAAAAGAAATTAATTGAATTAACTACAAAGTACGAGATTAATTAGTGGATAATCCTTTACGGGTACATAATGGCGGAAAGATCACTCTTCCGCGATAAATAGCTACATTGTTCTTGCAAGTGGACTTCGATCGATCGTGAACTGTAAAATTTACCCATAAATATCAATTAAATAATTGAAAAGAAATTAATTCAATGAACTACAAAGTACAAGAATAATTAGTGAATAATCCTTTACGGGCACATAATGGCGGAAAAATCACTCTTTCGTGATAGATAGCTACATTGTTCTTGTAAGTGGACTTCGATCGATCTTGCACCATTAAATTTGCCCATAAATATCAAAGAAATTAATTGAATTATCTACAAAGTACGAGAATATTTAGTGGATAATCCCGTACGTCTCAGTTTAGAACACTCTGGTAATCGATAAACTCGAATTTGAACTAGATAAAGGGAAAAAAATTCTTGTATGCGCTTCTATGCTAAAACGATGGGAATACGAGATCTCGGAGTGAAAATTTAATTGACCTGGAAATCACAGATGGCACAGAGGATCCCTCTGATAACATTCAACGTTTGTCATCGCGCCGATTTCCTTGANGCCCCAGAAAGCATGAATCCAGAGGATTTCTGGAGTTTTACTTCGATTTCTTTATAATTATTGTACGAAAACGATAGGTGGAGTATGCCATTTGGTACAATACCCAATATCATTCGACACAGCTGTCGATATAAAAACAAATGTCAGCAATGTAGGCATTTAGAAGAATCGTTTTTACCGACGTCGACCAAGTACCTCGACGTGTTTCACTTCACCTTAAGGCGATATGAAAGTGTGATATATACATACCAAAATGTCAAAATATATACATATAAAACTTTTCTCCAAACAGAATGCACCAAATTATCTAAAACTTTAACACGCAATTATGGAGGCTCTAAGAAAGAACGCGTTGCCCGTGGAATATCATTTTGTCGAAAACATTCTTTCTTTACCGACGTCGGTAAAATTTCACATCGTTTCACTTCACCTTAAGCAAAGATAATTAACGAGCCGTGCGAAGAGGAAACCCGATGAAATTAAGTGAAATATAATACGTTATCCAGACACGTGTCGTATTGCCATTGGGGTTTGGTAAGGAAATCGATTATATGGAACACGAATTTACGGTATAATTGAAGCCCATGACTCCATGGCCTGTACGTGCCTCGATAGATGGACGTTAATGATTATTGATCATCAACTAATCCCATTCACGGAGAGGGAGAGAGATTGTCGAACATTCGCCTGAATAAGTGACGTCCTCGTCGATACCTCGATGATCCATTTCACGGATTAATCTTCATTTCCAGAATCATGATGCTTTAATCGTGCGATCCGACACCAAGGTCACTGCAGAAGTACTTGCAGCTGCACCGAATCTTCGGGTCGTGGGTCGAGCTGGTACAGGAGTCGACAACATCGACCTGCAAGCAGCCACTCGTAATGGCGTCGTCGTTCTTAAGTAAGTTTCACCGGTAATATAGAAACAGTATCTACGTACAGCGGGTTCGTAAAGAAAATGATTATTTACGACTTGGATCTAAAGAATCGATTTCCGGTACAGGACACGGCATGAGATTCTAATTTCATCCGAAGCGATGGTTAAGTAACCCCAGTAGCATAGAATAATTTCGAAATATTTCTTTGTAATCTTTGCTGAATATCTCAAGCGACAGATTATTTAAGATTTCTTGTAGATTTCATTCGAAGATATCTGAAGTATTTGTTGAAAATCTCGATGACATATTTAGTTTCAATAATTTATAAACATATATAGAAATTATATTTTTTCAATTATGAACATGTAATAAAAATACATTTTTTACTTCACGACTATTATCGGACACTTCATTTGTTATAAAAAACACGAGAAATTCTTCTAATACTTTCGTCCCGCTGTTTCATTATGGGAGCGAAACGTGTGATTTTGATTTTAAATATTTTTAAAACGTTTATAATGTATTCAGCGGATTATATTTAAAAAAAAATACTTGTATTAAAATGAAACGAAATGTTTTGTATATCTGGTAGGAAAATATGAAAACACATGTAGGTAATATTATATAAATATTATGGGGATGATATTCTAAAGTAAACGTTTTGCAAATATTTCAAATGTCTGATAAATATTTACCAAATGTACAATATTCGATAAATATATAGAAAATATAGGACAAATATTTTGTGCTACTGGGGAAAGAATTTAATTGCAATAACAGCTTTATGGGATCAATGGATCAATTGCACCGTTAAGGTGATATGAATGAGTGATATATATATATTACATATATATACGTATATATGTTATATATATATATATGCATACCAAAAAGTCAAAATATTTATAAAACTTTAACACGTGATTATTACGCGTGAACATTATTTTTCCTTAGAGCCTTCATAATTATGTACTGAAGTTTCAAATGATTAGGTGCACCCAATTTTGAGAAAAGTTTTATAAATATTTTTACGATTCACATGTCTAGAATGACCTTTTTATGTCACTTTAAGAACTCTGTCTATGTCATACATGTACACATGCTAATGTGTATGTTTGGCACGAAACTCTACCAAGTTTCCTGATCACGAACACAATTGTGTATGAGATTTCAAAATAGTGTATCTAGAAAAAAGTTCAACTAAGTGTATACACTATACTTCAAACAGATATTTTTAACAATGTGTCAAGATACATATCATGGAACTGAACCTAATTATCTAAACTGATGAAGAATAAGATCGACTTAGTTTCGTTAATTGGCTTCGTCTACGTTTTCTATAATATGTTTCGTTCAATGTTTTCTACAATCGGTATTTCTACTTCTCTCCAAACCCACAATTACCAGCCACACATTTCTGTCATATATGTAGAATTAATTTTCGGGTCGGGAAGGCATGAGAGACAAACACGCGACTTATTGGATTGGTCGGTAAAAGTTAATTTATTATTAGCACATAGTGCTCAGCTCTGAGGTTCGACACCGATTACTGCTCGAATTCGAAAGACGGTTAGGCGATCGGACACAGTCATACACACTTATACATTAGGTGAGCTACGGTCAGGTGTAAATAAGGCAGAGGACGAACAAGTGAAGAGAGAAAGATAGCTCGAACTCCTGTATCCTACATATAATCTACATACATATAAAATAATCAATTAACCCTTGAACCCTCTAAAATTATTGGATTATTAAATTAACTTTTCACACGCTTGAATCAGTTACCCTTATGAAAATTGTTCTTTTAATAAGCAACGATATTACTTTACGACATCGTGACCGTTAAGATCTATAACAGGCCTCAATGCGTTGCCATATTTACATTAATATTCTTCTTTAACGTTTCTCTAAAGTTATCCTAAGTGTATAAAAAATGAATTCAACAACCGAAAATAGTTCCATAGTTGGGAATAAAATTAGAAAGATTGAGGTTTAACGATTATCCCACTCGCTGATTCACACTGTACGTCACGACCGTCACGACCGTCACGTACCGTCACGTACCGTCACGTACCGTCACGTACCGTCACGTACCGTCACGTACCGTCACGTACCGTCACGTACCGGCACGTACCGGCACCGGCGTGACGGAACGCGTTTTAGTGGGGCGACCTAGCTTCTCACCGTCATCGACCTGCGCGTTCAGCCAACGGCACGGACCGGTACCGACACGACAAACATTGAAAAGTGCGACATAGTGGGATTACCTAACCTAACCAGTATCGACCTAGGCGTTCAGTCAACGACACGTACTGGCGCCAGCGCGACAAGACACTGAAACGGGCGTCGGTGTGGTGAAACTATCCAGCCTAACCGGCACCGACCTGCGCGTTCAGTCAACGGGACGTTCCGGCTCCGGCCGCCATTCTAGAGAGCATTTTGACGGTGCGTGTCGGTGCTGGTCCGCCGGATGGGAACTAATAAACCCAAGATGGACCAGGAGAAACTAATCGAGTATGTTAGACTATGTGAACCTTTATATGCAATTAACCATCCGAAGTATAGTGACACTATGTACAAGGAAAACGTATGGAGAGGAATAGCGAAGGAAATGAATTTTCCAGGTAAGCGGAAGAATTTCTTTTCTTTGTATTTCTAAACTACTTTTTACCCACTGAACACTGTTATATATAAATGTTAGGTAAATGTTACGTTTTCGAAGCTGACGAGTTATGTAGCATAAAAGTAACATGGATGTTAGGTGTTTGTTATTATTTCCCACGGAATAAGGTAACATGTTATGTTAATGTTATAAGTTCAGTCACCTTTAGATAATATTAATTTGTCAAACGTTTAATGAAAAGTAATGCAATTTTATAAAAGAATAAGAATTATGTAAGTTTCTATTTTGTAATATTCTGTGGCACTTGGCAATAGTTAGGTATAATATAATAAATCAGACTTTAAATGAAATTATGATCTGATTTTATTTAAAGAGTATGATTTCATTAGACTAGCAAACAATTATTGATAATGTGTATACGAGTACGAATTAAAATCACATTTTTCTTTTTTTTTTTTTTTTTTCATACGAGTAGTAAAGAAAATATGACATATATTAATCTTATGACATTTGACGATGACGATGGTGTAGTAAAATAGATGACAGCACCAATGTAGTTCTGTTTTGTTACGAATATGTGTTGCATATACATAATGTCAAGACAGTAACACAATGGAAGATAATAGTAACAAAGTTACGCTACATTTATATACATATGATAGTAACAAATGTTATGTAACCTGTTAGCTCCATGTTAGGTAATTGTTAAGTTGCTGCATTGTAACCAATGTCATTTAAATAGTTAGCTCTATGTTACGTAACCGTTAGGTTATTACGTTGTAACAAACGTTATGTTATTTATTAGTTTTAAGTTATGTAAATGTCAGGTTTGGTGTTCAGTGGGTACGCAGTTGGGTCTTGTCATTCAATGCGGTCATGCCGTGGGATGCAGAAGTCTAAGAACGTGTTTGATAACAGTAAATAAAGATTGCAATGCACTTGGAAAAATGTTGCAAAGCAGTGCTGGGAATATGATTAGATATAGTTTTGGATATTGGTATTATCATTTCCGAGGGGCTCTTCACTTGGAAATTGGTGAAATCGATTTCCTTGTTTGACAGCCGGTTTGGTGCCTTTGATTTTATATGATAAACAATGCTATTGAATGACAAGTGACGTTCGGCATTGAAATTGAAATTTTAAAAAAGTTAAAGTGTTTAACTTTTTTAAATTTCAATTTAAGTGTTCGGTGACTTTTGCGACGATTTACAGCTAATTTCCATATGATTTCAAGCGTTAAAATCCATGATTACCTTAGGGAATACCCCCTCGATAATTTCTGAAGTAGTCGCATAAAGTGTGAGCGATCAAAACGGTTTTGTTTTAATTTTGTATGGTTTTAATGTTGGTGCTTCATTGCGGAGTTGCAATTTTATTACTCGATATTTCGGACGCATTTTTGGAACTTTTACCGCGCAAGAGATAACGATAATTCTTTAATCGGTCTGCCGGAATTTGCAAAGCAGGGCACGATCTTGATAATTACTTTTCTTTTTCTTTTTTCAAATAGTAAATGCATAATATAGATTTCGTAAATAAACTATCCCTACTTCTACTGTATCTGTAATGTGCATCCACTAATCATACGAAGGGAAATAATTTCTTGTTGATAAAGAATTTCGATTTATCGTTTATGGGAGTTTAAATGACCAATAAAGAGCAGCTATATAGTTTGGAAAGTAACAAATATGCCAAAATTCGTTTGCGATTTTCTTCTATTCATCTCATAAACTTTGCCCTGAATTGCACTAAATTCTCTATTCTTGCTTCACGTCCTCAAAAGACAAGCAATTATCATCAGTAGCTAAATGCCGACGAAATATGTTTAATGATTGTAATCTATAACATGAGTTTTTCGAAATTGAAATCGTAAAGAAAGACACTGTATCACTAGTTCCATTCGTAATGGAAGATGGTTAAAATAGGTTATTCATTCTTTAGCGTCTTTTGAAAACTTAATTCGGTTATACGACAGCCATTTACACACTGTAAATATATTTCGCAAATATCGTATCATCTATTTCCAGCGGCTGGTTGTAAGAAAACGTGGACAAGCCTCCGAGACTCTTTCAGAAGAGCCTTGAAGAAGAAGCGTGAAACAAGAAGTGGACAGTCCGCTTCAAAGATGAAAAAATGGAAGTTCGAAGATGAGATGTCCTTCCTACTACCATTTATGCACGAAAGAGAGACAGGCAATAATTTAAAAGATTTCAGCGACGATGATAACGAGGGCGAACCGAATGAAGACGAATCCGATGATAGGAAGGACAATATAGGGTTCGATCGAAACGATGATGATAAGGACGACGTAGACGATAGTGAATTACACTTTGACGACGAAAGGAAGAAGAAACAGAGAGAATTCAACAGAAAAGGTGTCTTTAAAGTACCCAGGGACAAGGGAAGTCGATCACAAGTACAACCAGAACCGCTATCAACGATCTTGATGGAATATCTGCCGGATAATAAAACCATTACCGCGCAAGTAACTCCACCGATTCAACAATCCTGTGCAATAGACACGCTCTTTTCGTGTTTCGCTGCAACGGTCAAGAATTTCTCTCCGTATTATCAGAACTTAGCTAAGTCGCAACTGTTCTCCATCATCAGTGATCTTGAAATGCAACAAATTATGCAGGAGCAACAATTTGGTGTGCCCAATACCCCGGCACAACGGCAACACTCTACACCAGTGTCGACAACAATTCCTCCGCAATCTCTACAAGGATATCATCCTGGACAGTACATTGTACCATCTTCTCCATTACCACCGCAGTCACTTTCGTCGACAACAATTCCAACTTCGTGTCCTTCGACATTAACAGTTTCAAGTTCAATTCCATCGATATTGCATGATTTTCCGACAACTTCGGTGCCACGTGTCGGAGAGCAAACGTCATGCACCGAGGATACGAAAATGTAAATTCATTAAAAAAAGAACCCTTACCCGAAACATGACAATTCTGCCGGTACAATTGACTTGATAATACTGGCTGGATCGGTTCCAACGAGTCATACGATTTACCTGACAGTAAAGTACTTGTAAGACTCGTCATATTCCAGCAAGTTTTTGGACACTTCTTCGATGCCTTCCTTTTATTATTATTATTATTATTTTTTAATACTGGACTTACTTATTTTCAATTTCAGTTCTTAATTAGTTTATCTTCAGCTTCAATTTCGTTAAGAAGGATAAGAAGCAATTAGTCCACGAGACTAGGGGAATTAATTAATCGCCGATCGCCGATTAATCTATTCATTGTAATTGAAAAATGTGAACCTGCGTTGAAGCAGTCTGAACATGTATCGGTTTCAATTGTTCGTGGCGGTTGGTGCAGTACAGAGTGAATCAACCCTAATAATGTCGCAAAACAGCAATTCCTTTTTTTATTTTTTTTTCATTAATGTAATTTATCTCCCCACCCAGATAGACAAAGTAATGCAAAATTTGCGGCATAAAAGATCATGAAATGAGTCAGGCTGCTTACGAATCCTATCTTGAAACTCATATAAGTATAATATTGATACATCTAAATTTATCTCACTCATTGCCGAATAATACTTAAATATGAAACAAAGTTAAGTACATGCAATGTCTCAATGTTTGTACGCATACGTGCAACTAAATTTCTATCCCACATTGCTGATAAATAATTGCAGCGTCTGTAGCTCATATTTGAGCCACGGAGTGATAAATTTACCGGAAAATTTTTCTTCAAATTTATTGTGTAACATGCGTACATAAATCGCAGACATTTCATGCAGCAAATGGTCTGCAAATTGTTTGTAAATCGATCTTCCTAATAATATGACGATCATGAACTTCTATCAGGGCACTTACAGAGGTCTTCATTCTGCAATTGCAGTCTACCGAGTGCAAGCGTTAATGCGAGTCTCGGATCGATCAGCCTAACTTCTATATCCTTTCTATTCATTTACATAGGTGAATAAACTTAATAAATTTAATATTTAATCGACAGCACTCCTGGAGGGAACAGTATCAGTGCCTGCGAGCTGACTTGCGCCTTGATATCCGCCCTGGCGAGGAACGTGGTGCAAGCTTCTCAATCCCTGAAGGAAGGCCGATGGGACCGAAAGCTGTATTCCGGCTTCGAGCTCGCTGAAAAAACCCTCGCGGTAATCGGCATGGGCCGAATTGGACGAGAAGTAACCAGCAGGATGCAGTCCTTCAGGATGAACGTGATAGCCTTTGACCCGATGCTGAGGGACGACTTGGCCGCACAGATCGGCGTGAAGAAGCTCAGCTTGGAGGAAATATGGCCTCTGGCTGATTATATTACTGTGCACACGCCGCTGATACCTCAGACAAGAAGTAAGACCAAAAGAAAAGGATACTCCACCTGGAAACAAAGAACTTCCGCGCCTTGATTGCCGCGAAATTAATTCAGTTCTCTGTATACATTAGACTTTCGTATAACGCGAATTCTTATAGCTTTTCATATAACGCGATTATTCGGACGACGCGCCAAATAACAAGACACATTATTTAAGCATTATACGAGAAAAAAATTCCCATACGGTATGATTTCTAATAACGCGAATTCTTACAACACGCCAAATATTGCGTATACATTAGACTCCCGTTTAACGCGAATTCTTATAACGCATTCTTATAATTTTTCATATAACGCGATTATTCCGACAACGCGCCAAATAACAAGACACATTATTCGCGTTATACGAGAAAAAATTCCCGTACGGTATGACTTCTCATAACGCGAATTCATATTTCTGTATAACGCGAGTTCTTATAACACGCCAAATATTGCGACTACTGTTTTCATATAACGCGACTCTTCGTACAACGCGCCGAATAACAAAACACATTATGCAGGTTGTACGAGAAACATTCCCCGTACAGCACGATTTCCTATAGGAAATTTATATATTTACATATTAATAATTACGATTTCTTATAATTCATATAGCGCGTAACGGATTAACCGCGTTACACGGGAGTCTCCTGTACATGCTAGATTTTCTACGGTACAATTAACGAGGATTAGAATACTTTAGAAGTGAATCTTAGCTATATCATAGTACTTATTGTATTGTTACAAAACGTATTGGTCATATAGACAATCGTGTTAAAGTATGTACATGCGAAGAGTTGGAGATAGCTCAGTTAATTGCAGAGATCGGAATAGCCTAATAGGCAGACGTTACTTATCTTTTCTATCATAAATTATAACCCAATACGATTAATTAATTCTGTAACTACATAGTTGAATTTAGTTTTACCTGGTTGAATGCAATATCTTTGCTCCTAAGTGAAAAATCAACGCTCGCAAATCGGCGGATAAGTGCGGAACTTTACTGAGAGAATAGGACAAAAAATTGCTCAACATGCTTAACATTGTTTGCAAGAAATAGCGTTTTTAACGTAGGCTACATTCTTGCCTCGCAAAGAAAAAGAAAACAAAGCATTACATATGTCAAATGTTAGCCTCTTGAACGCATTTAGTTTGGAAATATCAGAAACTTTGACGTGAACCATTGAAAGTAAAGAGTTACTTTCTTGACGGGATTTTTTTTTCATTTCTTAAATGTTCCTATTCAAACTGCCACATATTGCCCTGTTGTTAAACAATGAAAATTCTCTGTTCAGATCTAATCAACGCAGCTGCGTTGGCGAAGTGCAAGAAAGGAGTGCGCATAATTAACGTGGCACGTGGAGGAATCGTTGACGAAGAGGCACTGCTGAACTCCATAAAATCCGGACACTGTGGAGGCGCAGCGATGGACGTCTTCGTCGAGGAGCCTCCAAAAGATCCCATCACCCTGGAGTTAATTAGACATCCAAAAGTCATCGCGACTCCACATCTCGGTGAGCATACTTGCTATTCCACTTGGCTTTCTTTCGATATATCCATCATCGGGGTAAAATCTGAATGAGTATAAATTGTATAAATAAAAAAATTAATAAATTCATCCCACAGGGGCCAGCACCTCCGAGGCTCAGCAACGCGTCGCCGTGGAAATAGCGGAGCAGTTCCTGGCCCTTTCCGGAAAATCGGAGAAATACGCTGTCACGGGTATTGTCAATGCTCCCATCCTGGCCGCTGCCATGTCGGAGGACAACGCACCGTGGATCGAGTTGGCGAAGAAGTTGGGACAACTCGCTAGCAAGTTCCTGGCGAAGGATCTTAAAGCCAGGATCGAGAGTCAGACGGTTGGTGAAGGCATGGAGGGCAAGAAGTTCATCCACACCGCCGTCCTCCTTGGAATCCTTGCTGGTCAGACCAAGAACGGGATTAACTTGGTGAACGCTCCTACCCTGGCGAAAGAAGCCGGCATTAATATCGAGGAGAATCATCAACAGGGCAATGGCAGAGCAGTCGCCGTCACCGTTGGACAGCACAAGATCAAAGGTGAAAAAAAAAATTGTATCAATTGCTTGACGTTTTAAGGTGAAGTGAGATTTCGAGAAATTCGATTGACGTCGGTAAAACGAATTCTCCTAGATAGCTACGTTTCCGACGATCCTATTTATATCGACAGCCGGGTCGAGTTATATTGGGTATTGTAATAAATGGCGTACTTCGTATGTCGTTTCCGTACAATAATTATAAAGAAATCGAAGTAAAACTACAGAAATCTCCCGAATTCATGGCTTTTATGCCCCAATTGACTAGTAGAGGGCCACCCTGCGCCCTCTGTGATTATAGGATCAACTAAATTTTCTCTCCGAGACCTCGTGTTACCTTCGTTTCGATAGAGAAGTGTATAGGACACTTTTTTGCCTTTATCCCGTTCAAATGCGAGTTTCTCGATTACTAGAGTGTTCTAAATTGTGGTACAATTGTCCTGACACCTTTGTTTCTCATATTGGAGCCTTCAATACTTGTATATCGATCGAAATATGAGAACTCGTCGCCGTTTTAGTTCTGATCTAGGGTGTCACAAAATGTTTGTTCGAGAATTCAAATTTTGAAAGTTCCAGGACAATTCTTAGATGATCGCGAGTCACTTGTCGAAGTTTCGGACAGTTCGACCAACACCCTTAAAAAACAAGTGTCTTATTTGAATCGACTGATCAATGGGGGTTTCACTTCACCTTAATGAACATTGTTATGAAATTAATTTAGGATATTCTTGTAAAGAGGAGTGCCGTCGCGAAACTGAACATATTGATATCTGTCAAAGAGCATTGTAGGACATCACCTTTCTTTTCTAGTATACTTGTCAACTGATGGACGGATTTTCTTTCTTTCAGGAACCGTTCGAGACAACGAATTGGTATTGCTGTCGATCAATGAAGCAAGCTTTGAAAATGGCGTTGTATTTAGAAATAACGTCTCCTTATATCGTGGAAAGTGGCCTCAAGATCTGGCAAAGATAGTCAACGCTATTTCGTCGAAAGGCATCGAGATACACAGCTTGAATGCAATCGAAAATTGGTTCGTGATCCAAACCAACGAAAGCAATTCCATTGCAGTAGATGGAGTGGAATCCTTTTAATAAGAACAGCCTGTAAGAGTAGCTTAGAAATCAGACTCGTATAAAAAGTCGGACCAGGGACCATCTCAAAAGTATTCAGTATTGCAGGAGCTTCTATAAGGAGTTCATCTTTACAATTCTTCGGGCGACGTATTCCATCCTATCATCTCGCAAGCCATTATTTATTGTTAGATCGGAATAAATTCTTGCCGGTCGAAGTCCATACTTGCATTTTCTGACAGTGTCTAGGTGTCAAAGGATAAAAGTCTTTGAAATAGATTGTAACAGCTTGTACAAAGATTTGGAAATAACGAATATCTACACCTTTGGATCTATGTACTGAAGAAGATACAATACATGCGTGTACTTATACATATTTGACATGTGTACAGAGAGGAATGAAAGGTTTAATGTATACGTTTATATTTTTTGTATTATTCAGTCAACAATAAAATAATTGAAGCGTAAAATGTCTCAGGCGTTAGTACCGCTTATTATAGCGAATTCTGTAATCCATGGGATACGATTTTTATTGGATTGTACAAAGATGTTATATAACATTGGTGTATACGTTCTTCACAAAGTATAGTGCATTAAGTTGTTTATAAAAAATAGGTCACATAAAAATACTCAAAAGGCTCGATAAATATTCAAGGCCAAAGATAAATCCGTAAACATCTCTTATAAACGTGTACAGTTGTAAATATAAATATATATATACACATATGTTATTGTAATATCACATCTTTACATAGTTTATGATTATTGATAATAAATGAGAGAAATATTCAAATATAGCAGTTTGATACTTGTAGCTATAAACAAAGTTCACACACTAGGTGAACCTGCTAAAAAGATTATATATAAGCTACCGTTTTTAAAATCTATTAATGGATATATATGTTGAACTTCAGTTTTGTAGGACTGATCAATGAAATGGGCAATCTTTCATGAATCCACATAAAAATGCAGTGATTCGTTATGTATTAAACAATTATTGCGCGTAACTATCAAAATAATAAATTTCAAAACAAAAATATAGATTTTCATGCACACATTCGGTGGCTGTTTAGTTGGCATCGAGCAAATTGGAACACCAAATTACCTAATACTGTCCTAACTAAATTTTCTGTTTTAAGATAAGAGGACGAGAGTTTGGAGATACAGAATAGAAATGATACTATGCATAATATTGTGCTGGAATTATATCCAGTAAGTATTCATTTGTGATTGTGATATTTTTGAATATGTATCGAGGCCATATACATGAGGAAAAACAATAGACTCTCAATAATTGTAAAGCTGTCTGTCCGTTTCAAAGTAGCCCATTTTTCTCACATATTGTTTCCTCAAATCGTTTTTCCCTTCTTTTACTTTATCATTCATTTACTTCAAGGCCTTGCGCACTAATGTAACATTCATAGTAAACTCAGTAGTATGTAAAGCTACTTTCAAACAGTAATTACAAATTGCTATAATTCACAGATCTTTTATGCACAGCTATACATATTTAATTATCACTATCATTACCTTATATTGCTTCATAGCTGTCATTTCGACAACTACTAAATGTAAAACTGAATCCATCCTAAAAAGAACAATGAATATTTAATATATGATTGTTAAAGTAAGGCGAACATGTTCAATTTCGTATGCATTGCCAAATATTTGTTTGAACTCACTTTGACGAGTGCTGGAAGATCCATCCAAAAAGCATAATTAGGCACCATTTCCCATCCAGTAGCTCCGCTTAAACATTTTTTAATTAATGCCCCTCCAAAGAAGTATACACCGCTAAAGACAAACAGCAATATGACCAATAGCGATCCAGTAGAAAGGCCTTTAGAATATATTTGCTTTAGGCAGACTTGTGCTGAACTCAGTACTAAATGCTGAAATTAGTAAAACATTACATCGCATGCTTTTTTGAGACTATTATACATTTACATTTAGTACTTACATATTCTGATTTTTCTGAATATAAGATATCAATTTGAAGAGAAGAAGAAAGGTGCGCATGAGTACAAACAAAGTTAATCGTGGTAGTATTTTTCATATGATGAAATACCAAAGACTGTATCAAAGGTTGCGATTTCATCTCGACTTCTTTACTGGTACCAAGATTAAAGAACACATCATCCTTCTTCATACACAACTGTAATAAAGGAGTCAGTTTATTTATGACGATCGGCAAATCCAAATTTGCTAAAAAAAAAAAATAAAAACTAGTTTATATTCACATCTCACCGAAACTCCGGAGTGAGAGCTGCACTCTGTAGTTTTGTTATCCAATTTAATTGGCACATCTTTACAAGGATGAAAGTAGAACACATAATTAGGATATCTCGAATCATCTACCGTTGACAGGTATCTGCAGAACAGAAAATAGTCATCGATTAAAGTGACCATTTCATTTTTCAATATTCAAGATTCTCGTAACCTTTACTCAATTCACACGTTAACTGTCAAGTAAATTGTAGTATCAAATTACGTATTCTTCATTAAAATCGTATTCGCCAGAAATAACAGTGAATTTACGGTAAAAACGATATAACCATTGTTTGTAAGAACTTTTCGAATAGATCGTAAGCCTTTGAGGTTAGAAATACGAAAATACAAACCCTTCCTTTTCAAGTTCTGACAGGTCGTATCCTGTACCATCCGGGAAGACGCAAGAACAAGGTGACTGTTGAATACATTCCGATGACGTGCAACCGACGCAAATGATGAAAGTTAACATAAAAACCGCAATTGCGGTTTGATTAACAAGTATCATCGTAAAAAAACAGTTGACATTAGCTTACCCAACGCGTTTGCGCAGTACATCTTTGCAATTCCCCACCATGCGACCATAGATAAAGAATTCGAGTGGCTCCGTTCCACAACTCCAGTTAATCGAAATTTCTTAATTGGTTAACAGTAGGTTTAAATTGGGTGTAAACCAGTTAAACTTCGGTTAACTCGAGTTGTAGAACCGGGCCTTAGAACGTGAACAAAATGATTGTTGTAAACTAAGCTATAAGAAATGTTTGTCAAGTATTATCTATATATTCAGTAATCTTAGAGTTTATATGCTTATTCCTTTTTGCATTTCTTATGAGAAACAACGTCTTTTGATTATATATTGGTGTATTTCATTTCATATTGACATTCACCGTATTCATTTTAATCCAACGTATTTATATTTCCCACCACTTTTTAGATCTGGTGATTTCTAGTAATTTGTTGTACTGATTCTGGTGGTCATTTTTTCACGATTGGCGATCCTGTCAATCAGAATCGAACCAGTTTGTTATGATTCCCGGTTAATATGGTTTACAAAATTTGTCAGAATATTAATTTTTAAAAATATAGTAATGCAGAATTTAAAAGTCCTAATTGATCAGAAATAGATATACAATTCATCAGTAATTAATTGCTTAAAGGTACTTATTCTAATTGCATAGTTTGATAATTTTTGCACAACTTAACCTATCTTGTGTTATGGAAGTATTTGTTGTGTAGATAAATATATCTGTATGTTGAAAACGTATTGTTTCCATTTAGCATTATAAAGAATATTCTTCTTTAATTATCATATTTAAAAACATGTGTTCTAGAGTAAGATAGTTTTTATATATCGAATCAAAAAGAACTGCAATTGTATAATTTTAATTGTGTTATATTGAATTCATTTTTACAGATACGGTTAAAATTACGAACGATCTGATGGATACCTTTGCTTGGACTGATCAATTAAAGTGCCCATCCTATCTTTGTACAAATGAGATAAAAAGGCGGTAAGCATGTGTTACAGTTAAGGTATGTTGTCTCTCTTATTTTTTAGTTTTAATATCTAAGTCATTTTCTCCCCAAATAGCCTTAATAAAGGAATATTAGGTTTATTATGGGAAGATATTTCTGGTACATTGTTTCCTGCCAATGAAGTACTACAAGCACGGAAAAATCTCCTCTTATACAAATTAAAGAATGAACCCGATGATCCCCTTATACAAAGTGTCAAGAAGATCGTTCATTTATCAACAGAAAGAGAGAAACTCGGTAAACAAATTGTTACATCTGAAAATATGTGTGAATCTCACGATTATACATTACGAAGAAAAGGTAATTACATCGAATATATGTATATATTGCGTAGATGCAATTCTTCTATATCAAATTCATAATTTCCAACTGGAGGTATTATGTTAATAGTTTAATATCAACAGAATTTTGAATCCCTTTTTTCTTTATAGAACAACAGTTAAAAAAGATTAAATCTACGAGGCATTCGACACAAGTAAAAAAAGATTTACTGAAAATGAAGTATAATCAGATGTGCGAACAAGTTCGAGACTGCGAACAGATGAATTTAGTTTGCAAGCATTTAATGCCACCCTTGGGAAATAGCATAGAACAAACTCTCTTTAAAAATTGCTTAACGTTAGTGAGTACATTATCATCTGGTGGAAACAGGAAACATGTAAGTTCTTCACAAATCCATTTATATTACTTAAATTTAACATGCGTTATTGGAAATATTAATATATTGTTACATTATGAAATCCAAGTTTTATTTCTGTAGATAAGTGAAGTATAACATTTTGATGGCTTCAACAATTTTGTCATAGATCGATTACCTTATTAATATATTTTTAAGGTATGGAGAACAATATCGGAGACTCTGTCTCCAATTAAAATGGGCGCTTTGTGGACTACTTTATTAGAAAATTGTTCAAAAGATGCAGATGAATTCATACGCTTAAGAGTAACAGTTCCAGAAAGAAATGTTGCTTGTGAACATAGGGAAAATATTGATGTTGGCTTAGCCCGAATTAGCGGCCAGCACATATCTTCTGTAGGTAGGAAATTAATACATGATGCTGACACTTGTACTCAAAAGCAGCAAACAATGGAATATATTTATTTAATCGAGGTAAATAGTACTCCTGAAAACAGTTATTATCTTGGATTACTTTTTTTTATTTATATTTTTTTATTAATTATAAATCTTTCTTTAACAGAATGCAGAGACTAATCTTATGGAGATTGAAGAATGGTTATCGGTAACATTGGAAGTTCGAAAGTTAGAACTGATGCAAGAAAGACTGCAAGAGGAAGTAAATGAAATTAGTGAAGCTGTCAACGAAAGAAGAGAATTAACGGTTGAACTCGCACACATAGTATCCGAAATTCAAAACGTTGATGTACAAATTGTAAGTTCACGTTCCAAATTGAAAGAAATTGAATCAAATATGTAATGTAAATGAATTGGAATATTCTTTTTGTAGAAAGAACACGTTGAAGAGGTACAACATTCATTGATGCTATTAAAGACAGCCGGATCACTAATCGATACAACTAAAGAGGAACTCCAGAATAAATTACAAAACATTATGGCTTTACGGACAAAATATCAGGATGCAAAATGGTTAGATATTAATCTCAGTGCTGAACTCATCGAATTTTATGACAATATGGATATCGCAGCAGTGCGAAAGATAATATTAGGTGGAAATATCGGAGCATACAGGTACATTTGTTTGTGTCATCATAGTATCACTATGCCAACAATATTTTTTCGTGAATAATCATTGAGCAATTGTTTTTACAGACACTCAACATGCTGCATCGGTAATGCACCAATTTCAACCATAGTTCCACAATATTCAAATAATGTGTCTCGTTTCCCAATGATCCTTGCACCGATCCATCATTTGATACAGTGTCATCACGATTTAATGACAAACGCTTTGTTAAAGAGATATGAGAATCACGAATCAAGTTTTACAGAAGAAGAATTAATTGAACCGATATCTCCAGAAGAACAGTCTGATAAGAGTTGCAGTGCCATGGAACTGTTAAATATAGTAGATTTGACTTGTGACAATATACATGATCAGATTCAGCAATTCAATTCCATCTCGACTGAATGGTAAGCAGTGTAATATAATATTTAATAATTCAATTAAATTTCGCGATCTTCTAACAAAGATGTTTTTATTATAATGATATGACTGTAGAATGTGTTTTGTGTTTAAGGGCAAACCAGTCAGTACAACAGATTTTGATACATGAACATAGATCAATTAACGGTGTTACCTTTAAGGAGTGGTTGCAACGCTACAACACTTTAGTGTATATGCTACACAAATGTAAATAACTAATTGCTTTCGCATTACGTGCATACGACATAAAAATGGACATGGCTTTGATAATGTAATAAATTTTGTATCCAACCGATTTTCTCTCATGTACTGATATTGTATGTAGGCAGGAAATGACAGCATTTAATTTGGAGGATATTCATATGCCTAAACTTTTCCATATAAGTAATCGCCTTTATTCGGAAATAGTGTCCTTCAAATTTAAGCTGACATTATATGAAAATGTATAATGAACTGTAATATAGTATTTTTATCATTAACAACAATTATAACCGTAAAATCATTTACGAGAAGATTTATAAAACCATTTCGTCGTATTAATCAAACACTTTTTATCCTAGGCATAAGATGACAATTTCTATACTTAAAAGATTAAGTAAACTAACTTTTAATGATGTTCTTACTCTTTGGACTTTCCAGATCTTTTCCTAAAAAATAGAGAAACAAGGAAGTCAAAGGAATCATTGAATTAAGAACAATGGAATTATTTATCCAGGAGATACTTTTATTGCATTTAAATTCTGCAGAAATCGTATCGAGATAATAAATAATAAGTTAATAAATAAATTATTAAACGGTAAAAAAGATAGATAACTCATGTATCACATTAAGTCGTTGCGATCGTATATAAATTCTTAGGAATGTTAATAAATCTCAACATTCCTGCGTACCTAAATAGCCGTGCGAAGGTGATCTGCATTAAGTGCAATCAAACTCCGAGATTAACATTCACAAAGTGAACGAGATTATTACAATTGAGACAGTTAATCTCCGAGCGTTACAAATATTGATTATAAATACTTTATAAAATCGCACGACTCACGGTAAGCTCCGCCCAAGAATTTCCGTCTCCCCCCAAAAAAAAAAAAGTAAAAATAGACAACTATATTATCCTCGCCATATTCAATTAAATTGTCTTTCGTGGGGTTAGTAATTCGCCTAATAAATTTAACTATTGAGTCGCTTATGACGACATGAAAGGGTCATTCTATACATATAAAACGAAGATATTTATAAAACTTTTCTCCAAACAAGGTGCATCGAATAATTTCAAACTTTAACACACGATTATGGAGACCCTAAGGAAGAACACGATGCTCGTGAGATGTCACTTTTCAGAAAGAAAATGTGATTTTTGTTCTAGTTTAGGGTAAATAAACAAAAGTTTCTATAAATATTTTCACGTTTTTATATGTAGAAATGACCTTCTCATATCATCTTAATAAAACGAGTTCCTGGTCGTCAAAACGACGCTCCAAGGAGAGCGAGGAGTTGTCGAATTCGCTAAATCTTGTTAATACTATCTAGTTTTCAATAAATACCACAATCGTTACAATGGACAATACTAGGGGGCGATAAGAAAAGTAAAATGGTAAATAAAGAAATGGCCCGAAGTCCTCGACGTTACGAGGAGAGCACACGGGCCTTGTCAACGCCAGGCTACCTAAGGGAAATAAATAATCGACCTCTAAGAATTAATTGAAATTACAAATTATACATTAAGTTAAATTAAATAAATTACTAAATCAACGCGTGCGCGCGCGCGTTGATCTTCCTTGGAAGTGCCGTACAAAACTGAAATACTTAAGTAAAGAACACAGTGAGTTGCAAGTTACGTAGACCCTATATTCTTCCTTCAGGCCTTTCTTCGGCTTCTCGAGCATCCTCGGACTGTACGTATCCAGTGGATGGTGTTGATCTATTAGTTTACTTAGGCTCTAGTCAAAGTTTCTTTTTTCTTCAAGAGTTCAAACTCAGGCGGCTGAAGGCTCCGCTAATACTGTTTGGGCGGTAACGAGTGAGACATCCTTTTGTCATTTCATTCTAAACACTCGCTCGAGTTATATCAGCTGATCCTCCGTCCCGACTCTGTGTCGGTACTCTATGTCCTTCTGGAAAGAAAAAGAATAACACCAGTTAGAAGTCTCGAAAGGCATCAATCATTGAATTTCAAAAAATAATAACGCCACTTAGAAGTCTCGAAAGGCATCAATCATTGAATATCAGAAAATAAGAACGCCACTTAGAAATCTCGAAGGGCATTGGTCATTGAATTTCACTAACTATGTATTTGAATAAGTTTTTTCGCAACGTTCAGCAAATTTCATATATAGAATACGAATGAATAATATGTTGAATTTGAATTTTCGTTAACTAAGCAGTGGGTTCCTGTGTCGTTAACAATTTTAGAGTTAAGGGGATGTGAAAGTGGTGTCAAAGAGTTCTCTTTAAAAAAACTCTTCTCCAAACTGGGTGTATGGTTCAAACTTTACAATATAAATATGAAGGGTATATGGAAGGTCCTGAAACTCGTGAAATTTCAGTTTCTCAAAATTCTATTTGTTTATAGATATTTTCAAAATTGTTTATAAAAAATGAAATCTCATGAGTGTCAAGACCTTGTAGCCTTCATATTCACGTTGCATATTAAACTCTTCTCCAAACTGGGTGTATGGTTCAAACTTTACAATATAAATATGAAGGGTATATGGAAGGTCCTGAAACTCGTGAAATTTCAATTTTGTTAAAAATTGATTCGTAAATTTTTATAAAATTTGTTATAGAAAATGAAATCTCATGAGTGTCAAGACCTTATAGCCTTTATATTCACGTTGTAAAGTTTGAAACGATTCGGTACACGCTGTTCGGAGAAAAGTTTCATGAACGATTGAGCTATCGGTTGCCACTATCACATTCCCTTAAGGTGAAGAAAAACGCCCCTCAAATCAGTCGATTTGAATAAGACACTTTTATTTCAAAAGTATTGGATCGAACCGTCCGAAACTTTGACACATAACTCATGATCACCTAAGAATTGTCCTGATGCTTTTAACATTTGGATTTTCGAAAAAAAAAACTGTTTAACTTAGCCTAGACTAGAACCAAAACGGCGTCGTGCTCTCATATTTCTTTCGATATGCAAGTATTGAAGGCTTCGATATGAGAAACGAAAGAAAATTTAGTTGACACTAAAATCACAGATGGCGCAGGGTGGCTCTCTCCAGTCAATTAGGACATAAAAACCATAAATCCAGGAGATTTCTGGAGTTTTATGTCGATTTCTTTATTATTATTGTACGGAAACGACATATGAAGTACGCCACTTAGTACAATACCCAATATAATTCGACACGGCTGTCGATATAAATACGAACGTCGACAACGTAGGTATTTAGAAGAATCTTGTTTACCGACGTCGACGAAATTTCTCTACGTGTTTCATTTCACCTTAATAAAGGGTTAACAAAGGAGCAAAAAATCATGATTTCCGTTTGAAACATTCCATTAAAGAAAATAATTTCCGTTTGAAATCTTCCATTAAGAAATTGATCTGAAATCACGGAATGATTCGTATGTACCGGAGATTTTACTTTGCCAACGAGTCTAACGAGTTCTGGAGAGGGATCGGGGAAACTTTAGAGCTTCATGACTGATAATGTCATGACCTGTTTGAGTAATCGTCAAGATCGCACGGGGTCAGAAATGACGAGCAAAGGCCTTTGGATAACGAGGCGCGTGCCAACGCGCCAACGATTCTTTTTCAACACGTAATTATCACTCAGTAAATTCGTGGCTCCGTAATGATACGAAATGATTGCTAATTTATAAAAAAAAAAAAAAGAGGAGGGAAAAGAATCACCCCCTGGGTCTCGAAATCTTTTCGAGTATTTCGGGTGCCAAATAGAAACGCAAAAGTCTCCCGACGTTTCCTCGAAAGGAGATATTAATTTTATTAGACATCATTCAGGCACAATTAATGGGGAAGTCATGAAATCGATCATTGATAACGAGCCTGCAATTTTCGTTCGATCGTTTATAACACTGACGTATAATCCAATTTCGGAGGAATTACTCTCTGTAATGTATTGTTAACATGACTTTTTTACTTTTAAACTGAACAATTGTCGTTTTAGAGAACAAGGAAAAGAACTCTTCTTTACAAATGTTTGATATGCAGATTTTTCGGGATATCAAACATTTTTAAAAAAAGTTCTGAATCGTTAAGGTGAAGTGAAACACGTCGAGGAACTTGATCGACGTCAATAAAGAAGATTTTTCTAAATGCCTACGTTGCCGCCGTTCGTTTTTATATTGACAGCTATGACGAATTATATTGGATATTGTACCAAATGGCATACTCCACATGTTGTTTTCGTACAATAAATATCAAGAAATCGAAGTAAAACTCCAGAAATCCTCTGGATTCATGCTTTCTGGGGCCCTAATTGACTGCAGAGGGACACTCTGCGCCATCTGTGATTTCCAGGTCAATTAAATTTTCACTCCGAGACCTCGTATTCCCATCGTTTTAGCATAGAAGCGCATACAACACTTTTTTTGCCTTTATCCCGTTCAAATGCGAGTTTATCGATTACCAGTGTGTTCTAAATTGTCGTAAAATTGTCCTGACCCTTTCGTTTCTCATATCGGAGTCTTCGATAATTGTATATTGATCGAAATATGAGAGCTCGATGCCATTTTGGTTCTGGTATGGGCAAAGTTAAAACATTTTGTCGAAAAATCCAAATATTGAATGTGTCAGGACAGTTCTTAGATGATCAGGAGCGATGTGTCAAAGTTTCGGACAGTTTGATCTAATACCCTTAAAAAAAAAAGTGTTGTATTCGAATCGACTGATTTGACGGGGATTTCACTTTTTACATTTCAAGTGAACAGCTTATTGTCGCTTTGGAGAAGAAGGAAGAGAATTTTTTTCTTTTCTAAATGTTTGATATGCAGATTTTCTTATTAAAAAAGATGTAGATGTAGGGTCGGGAATTCATGGTTGCACAATGAATTTTCGACGAGTCTTTTTACCTTTTTTTTTCATTTCTTTTCATTTCTTTTCATTCCATCTTTTCATATGCTCATTCAAGTGCGGTAGCATTGCGCGCCAAGTGCGCATTAAAAGAAATATGGCTCTCGATGAAGAAAGCAAAGGGCGACGAGGGGAATTTAATTTAAATATCAACCGAAAGCTAATATTTGGAAATATTGACTACGTGGTTTACAACTGAATTTCCAGTCTCTCTGCAAATGAGATATACAATTGTGCAAATGCTTACCCAATTAGAAGATGGCAGCTCGTCTCTCTCTTCGCTAACCGAGACGGATTCTTCACGTGCGACTGCTTGAAGAATCTGCCGCAATTTTTGGAGATCACTGTCGACGTTTGATCTACGTTTGCGCCCACTGTAATCAGAAAGAAAAGTGGATGGTAAATAATAAAATTCCGTAGGAACAAAGAGGATTGAGAAAATGATACAACGAATTGGAATTTCGAGCAGCAAGGCGTGGGCTCATGCAAAGAGATGTACCCGATTTCAATACACCTTTAAATACAAATCGAGTCCACCTTTTTGCAACACTCTGTACCATAAGGTGATAAGATTTTGATCGATTACAATGTTCTGCGCTTAATTGGGAAGAAAAACGTAGGTTACTTTATGCACCGGGAGTACGGGGAAATAATTACGATAATTAACTTGCAGAAGTCGTTCGGTTTCGATAAGGAATGTTCCTCCGTACCGAGGGAGTACATTATCGCGTAGATAAGATAGAAACGTTTTTTCAGCCCAAAAAATGCGCCGACAATACACGTCAACGTTTGATAATATTTTCTACCGTGGATACAATCGGTAGTTAAAAATATCCTCACCGAAGCTGTACTAATTAGTGCCGGGATTATCGCTGTATAATTATAAAACAAGGTAGGGTAAATTTAAAGATAAGGATATTCCCCAAAGTTTTAATAAATGCAAGGGAAATTCGGATTATTTTTTTAGTAACCAAATATATTTGCTTTAAATCTTAATTCCGTACTGAGGTTAAAGGGAACGGGGAAATTGGAGCACCTGTTGATCTAGTATATACCAATGGTAACCAAGAGAAAATTAACTGAAATACACAATTCTCATAGCAGGTGCCGAAAGTCAATACCTAATTCATTTAAACAATTTCATATTTACCCAGAAAATGTTATTTTCCGATAACAATTTATATTCCTAATATAAAAATGCATTTCACCGCGGCATCATTAATGAGTCGTCCTAAAATTAATCCCTCGTGTCGAAAGTCAATACCTAATTCATTTAAACAACTTCCCATTTACCCAAAAAATGTTATTTTCCGATAACGATTTATATGCCTAATATAAAAATGCATTTCACGGCGGCATCATTAACGAGTCGTCCTAAAATTAATCCCTCGTCCGTCTATTAATTTCTCACGTGTCTAATTAAAATCAGCAAAAGCTTATGTAATTCCTTAAGGTGAAGTGAAACCCCCCTCAAATCAGTCAATTCGAATACAACACTTTTTTTTAAGGGTATTAGGCCAAACTGTCCGAAACTTGGACACATCGCTCCTGATCATCTAGAATTGTCCTGACACATTAAAAATTTGGATTTTTTAAACAAATTTTTTAACTCAGCCCAGACCAGAACCAAAATGCCGTCGAGCTCTCATATTTCGATCGATATACAATTATCGAAGGCACTGATACGAAAAACGAAATGGTCAGGACAATTTTACGACAATTTAGAACACTCTGGTAATCGATAAACTCGCATTTGAACGGAATAAAGTCAAGAAAAGTGTTGTATGCGCTTCTATGCTAAAACAATGGGAATACGAGGTCTCGGAGTGAAAATTTAATTGACCTGGAAATCACAGATGGCGCAGGGGGACCCTCTGCAGTCAATTAAGGGCCCCAGAAAGTATGAATCCAGAGGATTTCTGGAGTTTTACTTCGATTTCTTGATATTTATTGTACGAAAACGACAGGTGGAGTATGCCATTTGGTACAATATCCAATATAATTTGCCACATCTGTCAATATAAAAACGAACGTCGGCAACGTAGGGATTTTGAAAAATCTTCTTTATAGACGTCGATCAAGTTCGTCGACGTGTTTCATTTCACGTTAATTTAATGTAAAACCTGCTGCGCAATTTGGAGAAACCTGCGGCTAGGCGGAATCTATTTAAATAGTTTCCCATCTCGCCTCAAATAACGCGAATATGAGATTTCGCCCAATCGCCGATTATGGCGGATCTTGTGGCACCTAATCTCTTTGCGCTGGCTTAAGACGATTAAATTAAATAACACCATATTTTTTCCCTCTGGCGGTATTAGTGGGTGGAATACCCTCAATAAGGAGATTACACGTCCTGACCAAATCCTAGTGCCCCCGAAATTATCCTGCTCGCCTACGCGACATTTTCTTCCGGCTGGCCCGACCTATCCCAATTTAGCTCGTTCCTGCCAAACCCGACGTGGTCACACGGCAGTAAACGTGATTTGCCTGTAATCCTGAATACATGTACACGTGCATATCTATTTTTGCCATAAGTAAGCCCGTTTACCAATAGAAACCCAAGTTGGACCCTCAAAGCCTCAACCCCCAAAAGAATCTTCGTCTCTCTTGGAACATTCCGAATTAATTAATTCCCCTAAAATAATAAATAATGTATGACATGCATACTAATCAATTTATTCAGTTCATTTCATTTTCAAGATGAATTATTGCCATGTACACGTATCACGCGGACAAAATATTTCGTTGGATCAATACAATCTCTCTTGGAATATTCTCAATTAATTCTATCCCCTAAAATAATAAAAAATGTATGACATGCATACTAGTAAATTTGTTCAGTTCATTTCATTTTCGAGGTAAATTATTGCCATGTACGCGTATCACGCAGAAAAATATTTCGCAGGATCAATAACATTTTTGTTGATTTAACCCGGGAATACGGTTATTATATGGCGAGGAAACATTTTGCCGGCATGAGAAAAACATTCGTTAATAACTTTTACTGTATTACTCGAAATATGGAGATGGGTCCAAACAAATATTGAAGTAATTTGCTACATTTAACCAAGTTATTCGGTTCATTTACTAAAATATCTTTTCAAATTAATAAAATGATTTAATCAAGACACTGTATTTTAATGAATCGAACGAGTTTAGTCAAATGATCAATAATTCGGTCCACTTAACCAAAGTGTTTTCTGAAATTAACCAAATGTCGATAAACAATTTCGTTCAATGAACCATATTTGTATCTGCGTATATCATCTCAGTTCCAGTAAAATTATTATTTTCAAGAAAATAATAACCTGCTAATTTTTTCTGTATAATCTGTCGTCTATTCTTAGGATCTTATTTAGTTACTGATGTGTGATCATGAAAATAGATAGCGTGTAATGTTACAATATTTAAGAAAAAGGAGTTGCCCTCTTCTCAAAGAGCTTTCGCGCTAATTTAGTGCTCGGTACTCAAATTACGAAGCTCATTTCTTATTTCCTCTTCTTGCATTACGCCCTGTCGGTGGTATCGTAAACGTATTTCCAGTATCGGAGGCGCATAAGAATGATGTTCAATGGAAATTTATTCGAAACGCATTCTCCGGGTTCCTAACTTATTTAGCTGTCCCCGGGTACCCATGTTATTCTATCTGCAGATGTGCTCCCTTCGCTTCTCGTCTCTTTGTTTGTCGTAAAAGGGTTAAAAAAAAGAAAGTAGGGCATTCCTTACATCGAGGACTTCGTGGCTAGTGAAAAGACGTGGGAAAAATGGTCTCCATAACGCGAAAGAATCCCGGGGTTAAAAGTAAAAGTAGTAAAAGTTAAGGTGATACGAAAGGGTTATTCTATATACATATAAAACGTAAAAATATTTATTAAACTTTTCGCCAAACGGGATGCAACGTTTAAAACTTCGGCATGTGATTATGGAGGCCCTAAGGTAGAACGTGGTACTCAGGAAATTTCATTTTTCAAGAAAAATCTTGTTTTATTTAGCCTAGACTAGACTCAAAATCACGTTTTCTTGTAAAAAATGAAATTTCACGAGCATCGCGTTCTTCCTTAGGGTCTCCATAATCATATGTTAAAATTTCAAATTATTCGATGCACCCAGTTTGGAGAAAAGTTTTATAAATTTTCCACATTTTATATATATATAGAATGACGCTTTCATATCACCTTAAGTAATTAGCTCGTAAAGAATCGAACCTTGTAATTGCGCCCAACGAAGTCAGTACTTAAATGTAGGCGAAATATTAATAGATATCAAAAACAATCTTTGGAAACGATTTCGCCTAATCGCGCGAAGATCTAGAAACCAAAAATTGATTGTACCTAAAGTCAGTATCCTCTGAGATGTATAAAGGATTAGAAAATGTTTCAAACATTTTTTATTTTTAGAAGAAACGCTTTTATCGAATTGTCCGAAGAGTCGGAAGGTTATGAATGTAGGGGGCAACATTTCCTGGACTTTAGGCATACCTACGAAAGAAAAGTTGGGAAAAATTAGAGGAATTCTTTTTCGGGAGCCTATCATCCTCGCGATGATTATCCAGCAGGTTGTCGCTTATCAGGGAAACGTTGGCGCCTCTTTTGGCGAAGATCGCGTCAGTCGTGACGATCTTTGCCACGCTTGGTCTGGTTTCTACGGCAGTCGTAACGGCGATAAGATAAGGATAATCATTCCCGACGAGTTTTGAGTCATCGGCAACCGACTGATCATTGCCCAGACGAGGTTTAATACCTGTAAGTGCGGAGGCAAGGCACAATGTCGATTTCTTTCGCAGATAATTCCCTCGCGAGCTCTCGTCGAGCGATCGAAGTCGCTCCCTTTATCAAGGCCCCGATTCGACCGGCCATTATCACCGCGGAATTTGGTCGCGACATGAAAACAAATTTCTGTTTTTTTTCTCTCTCTCCCATTACGCAACTCCTTCATACTTGCACTTTCGCCGTCTGTAGAATTTTCCCTACGGATTTTCGCGGCCGATTTTTCTCATTTTTTGTAGCCACTCCCTTTACCAAGGCCCCGATTCGACCAGCCATTATCACCGCGGAATTTGGTCGCGACATGAAAACAAATTTTTTTTTCTCTCTCCCATTACATAGCTCCTTTATACTTGCACTTTCGCCTCCACTGGAATTTTCCCTACGGATTTTCGCGGCGGATTTTTCTCATTTTTTGGAGGTGCTCCCTTTATCAAGGCCCCGATTCGACCAGCCATTATCACCGCGGAATTTGGTCGCGACATGAAAATAAATTTTTTTATTCTCTCTCTCTCCCATTAGGTAACTCCTTCATACTTGCACTTTCGCCGCCACTAAAATTTTCCCTATGGATTTTCGCGGCCGATTTTTCTCATTTTTTGTAGCCGTGGCCTGATTAGACCCACTCTTATACATAATGGAATTTAATGAAAGGTACTCCAAGATATCTCGAGAAACTTTTACGTCATTTTATGTCCCACGTTAAAGGGTTAAAAGCCAATTTCCGGAGAATCCTTACCTCAACGCTTCTCACCGAGAGGCTTGCGTCAATTTTCCGCGAAGACGATTTTCTTGGTACTCGGATGACGTACGTTTAAGACAGTTTTGCTGTCAAGTTTAAAGAAATTTCTCTAGAATAAATGTACACTTTAGAAATCTTTTCTAGGAAATATACTCTCTGTCTGAGGTTATCGTTCGGTCTCCGACAAAATGGTCTGGCATTAATTACCAATTTCAAGTAACTCCTTCAATTATATTTAGGTACTATATGTACAAGACATCTTTCGGGTGAAGTAGTGTACAGATATACATAACAAATGTACATAATGATCTGGAATTAATCAATGAAATAATTCCAATTGTACTCGGGTAACACATACGTAGGACGTTTATGTCATGAGATGCATTACGCGATGTCTCTTGAATGAAATTAAAACCTGAAAGGAGTTCTAACAGATGGACCTGTTTTTTATTTATCAATATTTGTCGTTATGTCTGCTAGCAACGGTCCCTCATTAATTAACTCAGGTAACTCCACTTGTACTCGGCTGACCTGCAGGTCTTGCAAGACTAACCGAGTACTAGAAAGCGCAAGACGGTGCAAGTACACTTGGATTATTTCTTTTTTTTTTTTTTCTCTTTTTCTGGCGACCTCGAGGAAACTTATGCGCATCAAGACAGAATTCAATATGACGGTCACGTCATGCGGTACCAATGAGCCTCGCTTGCAGGAATCGCATCGTGTCAAGGTACTCCGGGAAATACCTGATCCTCGCCATCAGAGTACGTGCATCGATTTGTTATCAGGACTGATCGACAATCGTACCCCTGCTTCTGAGTTTCGATACCCTTTTACATAATCTCGATCGATTCGTCCCACCGAGTGATTCCCAACTTCGGATTTCACCCAAACGCGCTCTTTTAAATCATTTACAAATTACTTAAACATTTGTCCCTTACTCTAGAATTCTCACGGTACACAATTGACGATACACGAGAGAATGACAAGAAGGTTTGACATTTGGTGATAAATCGCCGGAAATATGCTACTTCCGGAGGACATTTCAACGATGCGCATCTTGTAAGATCTTCCAAGAACACCCGAGTAAAAAAATGTGATACAATTGTTGGTTGTAATCTCGTTATTGGGGAATCTGATTTTTGATATATAAGATTTGATTAAACGTGAGGAATACATTTTTAATTCGGTGTTTCTTTTTTGTACTTTTTGAGTGGCGTTTGTTCGGGCGATTACACTGAATTCGTAGGCACTTATTGTTCGAATATGAAATAAAAAATGCTATGTATTGTTTTGAAAATGTAGAAATGTTTAGGAAGATGTGAGGAATACATTTAATTCGGTGTTTCTTTTCTGCACTTTTTGGGTGATGTTTGTTCGGGCTATATTATTGAATTCGTAGGCTCTTGTCGTTCGAATATTAACCCTTTGCGGTCGTATTAAATTTATGTACAGGTGTTTCGGTGGCTGAAGGTAGACATACGACCACAAAGGGTTAAATAAAAAAATGCTATGTATTGTTTTGAAAATGTAGAAATGTTTAGGAAGATATGAAGAGAACGCGTTTCTTTCGGGGTTTCTTTTCTGTATTTTTTGAGTGACGTTTGTTCGGGCTGTTACACTGAATTCGTAAGCTCTTATTATTCGAATATGAAATAAAAAATGCTATGTATTGTTCTGAAAATGTATAAATGTTCACTTACATCTTGGCTGGATCCACACGACCGAATCCAACAGGGACCGTGACCAACTTGCCCCGCATTTTCGCAAGCGCCAATAAAGTCTCGAGTTCGGCCAGTCTCTGATCCGACACTCGCTTTTGCCTGCTGTAAAGATGATACGGCAATATTAGATGATTGATTTCTCGAGTCATTCAGTTCCTAAGCGTATGCGCTAAAATGCATGGGTAATGTTTCTCACCGTTTCGGAAAATAGGTGATAGGAAAAATTTCGACATTTGAGATGACATTCTGCATAACGTAGATACACTTGAATTGTCTTGTGCTCATTTACAATTGACCGTCTTAACCATAAGGAGAAACACAAAAGTTTCACCTCAGGTGATTACAGGAGCCCCAAAGTCACCGATTACATGATTTTTATTCTAAATTATTACGAGCAATCTGATATAAGGTGAATTTTATCGCAACCTCTTGCTTCTTCGGTTTGTAATTATTATTTTATATTCCTTTTAATGAAATTAATATAGATAATTGATTGCATTGTTGAAACCTCTGCATGGTAATAATGCATATTCGAGTGACTCCGAAATTCTCTCGGTTGCATCATTTCCCACTGCATTCTCGCATCGAATGACGATGATTCTCTTTACGTCACTGAATAAGCAAACGATCTTAAGTGGAGCAGAGACGCGTGCAGCAGACGGAATACGTAATATCCTGGGAAATTCTTAATTAGTGAATAACTGGGGGTCGTCTCTGCCTGGAGGTACAAATTAGTCCCAACGAAAGGAAAATTTATTGCTCGGGCAAACTCCTCTCAACGCCACTTAAAGGTTTAATTGTACATGCATTTCGGTCTATCCTTCAAGCAATGTGAAAGTAATCGACACATTACATATGTTCGGTAAACGAAAACCAATATCGCGTTAACCTATGAATTGCTAATTAATTGTAACGGGTCGAACATGTCACATCGGAAAAAATAATTCGTAAATAGCCTTTGTAATAAATTTTTCACATACAAATATGCAATTCATTATTAAAGGTCGAGACAAATTATAGATATTATAAATGTACTGGGCCGAGAGTGTTGTATGATTCATATTATGATAGAAGTCGATATGCGTAATATTTTTCGAAATGATATCCTTATCCTGATTTTGGTCACACGGTTGGGAAGTTTAATCGAAATCGATCGATTCGATCGAATTCGATTCGGCTAATTTGGCGATCTCGCGGGTCTGAGATATTTCTTACGCGCTGAAAGAGCCGATGAATCACTCTTGTAAGGTTAAAAGTTAAAAAAAGAATCGATTGGATTTAGCGGGAATTTCGAAATGCCTACGCGGGGAGTCTTCGAGCTTGCCATATCGCCAGATATGATCGATCGATCGAACCTACCAAATTCCGGATGAAATCGAGATAGATTAATACAGGGCATGGATCGAAAATCTAATTTACGTCTGATTCAAGATAACTGTCGATTTGTCGCCTTAATCTTGGTCAAGAGCTGATGTCTTTGCTCGGTTCACGTTTCTTGTATCGATAAAGCGTGAGAAATTTTTTATATCACTTATGTATCATCAAGGAAATTAATGAAACAGTATCTACATAGGTATCTCATTTTTCTACCGTCTTTTGTGCGAGTACTGTTTGCACTCTAATTTTTTAAGCCTTTAAATTAAATTTAAATTTAATATTGAATTTACGTTTTGAAATATATTAGATCACACCCATACATTATATATTATCAGGCAAAGAGACACTTCTTTGAAGGAATTTAAAATTTCGCTAGAGTAATCAATATATACGAGTGTGGACAAACCGTAAACATTGACTTAACGTTCGTTTAATTAAAAATCGGTATTTATGGGTTGAGACGTGATCAGTGGGGGCGATTTATTTCTAAGCAGAACAGTGTCTCTAAAAGAAGCAATGGCCTCGGGAAAATCTTTCTAATTTCATTTTTCTTGCCATTACAGACCCTCGAGGTACTTCTAGATCTTTTAATTCTTCTGCTTTGAAATCATTTAACCAACCAAAAAGATCTTTCATCCCGAAAACGAAACAGAGCTGAACGAAATTCACTTTTTGGGCACTCGATACCGGATCATGGATTGAATTTTCATCCATTCATGCTCCAGAATGTTCGATGACATCAATAAATCAAATCGGAATCATTTGTCAAGACAAGAAATATCACGAACAGTGCCCGGCGATTATAGACAAATAAAATCATCGAAACTGTGTCCAAACACTGCACCACCAAGCCATTCTGCAAAAGCTCAAAGCAGTTCCGAGACCGTTTATTCAAACAGAAGATCTATTTAAACTGTTTTTGGAAAATGCATCGTCTAAAACGTTCTAAAATCTGCAACGAAATTTCGTCGTCTAAAATGTTCTAAAGTATGTCGCGCAATTTTACAAAATGCGTCGTCTAAACTTTGAAAAAGATCTGCAGCGAAATTTCAAAAATGCGTCGTCTAAAATTTTCTCAAATTTCCAGCGAAATTTGAGAAATGCGTCGTCTAAACTTTCTAAAATGTGCAGCGAAATGAAAAAACGCGTCTAAATTTTCTACAATCTGCAGCGAAATCTCAAAAATGCGTCGTCTAAACTTTTCAAAAAATCTGCGACGAAATTTGAGAAATGCGTCGTCTAAAATGATCTAAAATCTTTAGCGAAATTTCAAAAACGCGTCGTCTAAATTTTCTACAATCTGCCGCGAAATCTCAAAAATGCGTCGTCTAAACTTTCCAAAAAATCTGCGACGAAATTTGAGAAATGCGTCGTCTAAAATGATCTAAAATCTTCCGCGGAATTTCAAAAACGCGTCGTCTAAATTTTCTACAATCTGCAGCGAAATTTCAAAAACGCGTCGTTTAAACTTTCCAAAAAATCTGCGACGAAATTTGAGAAATCCTACGGCTAAAATGTTTTAAAATCTGCAGCGAGATTAGAAAAATGCATCGTCTAAAACTGTCTAAAATCTGCAGGAAAATATGAGAAATCCGTCTAAAATTTCCAAATTCGCCAATTCGAGTGATCAAAGCGCGGCATTCGGGGCGCCGACGTACCTGATGACTCCGGACGGTCTTGCGAGAGCCAGATCCGGAAGCAGCACCAAGAGGAGCACCCCGGCAGCGACCAGGGTGACCAAGCGGGCGCCGGAAGTGGCGACCATCTTCTTTCCGGGCGGCAAAGAGAGGCCGAAAGAGAGCGAAGAAAAGCTCGTCAACCGGGGATGCACCGGTCTTGCGTTTCCTCGGCACTGGCACCACAGCCCGGCTCTGCGCACTTTCACTAGAATCCCCTAGGGAGTCCCGGTGTCACTCGATTCGCAGGGTTGCACCGAAACAAGTAGCCCCGATCGGTCCTCTCCCTCTCTCCTGCGTTTTGCCTCTTGGTCAACTGTACCATGCTTCTGGTCGGTTCCAGCATATATACTCGAAGCGCGTTAGCTCCTCCCCACTCGACACGGATCCTCCCTCACTTTTATCTGACGCTTCGGCTTGCTCTCTGGCCCTCTCCTAATCCTACCGGCCTGGATCCTAGCCGAGTCCTGGCGGGGTCCTGCCGGAGTCCAGGCCGGCTCCTCCGAGGACGATGTCGAGGACCTTGCGCGGCGCAGCGCCGCGCCCGCGACCACCGCTGCACGTACGCTGCGGATGTTGCGTATATTTTGCCCACCATTCATATCTCTCTCTATATGTACAATAAAGTTATCCGATATTAAAATTGGACGCGATGCTCCGCGTTAAGGTGATATGAAAGGATCATTCTATATATCAAAACGTCAAAATATTTATGAAACTTTTCTCCAAACTGGCTGCGGGTATTGCGTATATTTTACTCACCATTCATATCTCTCTCTATATGTACAATAAAGTTATCCGATATTAAAATTGGACGCGATGCTCCGCGTTAAGGTAATATGAAAGGATCATTCTATATATCAAAACGTCAAAATATTCATAAAACTTTTCTCCAAACTGGGTGCGCCTGTCGCGTATGTTTTACCCACCATTCATATCTCTGTCTATATGTATAATAAATGTATACGATATTAAAATTGAACGCGACGCCTCGCGTTAAGGTGATATGAAAGGATCATTCCATATATCAAACGTCAAAATATTCATAAAACTTTTCTCCAACTGGATGCGCCGAATCATTTGAAACGGTAACACGTGATTATGGTGAAATTTCATTTTTCTCATTTCATCTAGAACCAAAATCACATTTCTTTTTATGAAAATTTAAATTTCAGGAGCATCACGGCGTTCTTCCTTAGCATCTGCATAATCACGTGTTAATGTTACAAATGATTCGGTACACCCCATTTGAAGAAAAGTTTTATAAACATTTTGACGTTTTATATAAATTTATATAAAATAACCCTTTCATATCGCCTTAACCTTCTGATATTAATGGGTATTTGTATATATGTTTACAATCTTTAAGCATTTTTGAACATTCAAATATAATGAATATAGAATATATAGATTCATTCATTGGTTACGAAGGAATGGTAGGAAAGGTAATCATTTAGTTTCGCCGTAAAAATTAAATACGCTTTTAAAAAATATCGGCGAACGGATATGGCACTTTGAAGTCACGTGGCGTTATAGAAGATTAATGGAAAACGATTATATGTCCAATATATATAATTACAATTATTATGATTTCGATGTTAAAGTTATTATAGTTGAATATCCAACCCATATGTGCGTACAAAAATCTATACCGTGGCGGTGAAGAGTAGTAAGTCAAATTTTGAATACTTTCGGAATACTTTTACCACGAGACATAATTAAAGTCAGAACAAAAATGGATAATAATAAATTCATATTGGTGAAAGCTGGACCTAAGACTGTTTATCTCTTTGGTATAGATATGAAATAGAGAATCCAGGGTATTGAATATTGGCAAGTTGTTTGATTAATTAGGTTTTTTGTTACCTATTTGCTCGATATGGCGTTACTGTTATCATTGCATGCATTATTTAGGTGAAGATATATTTAATACATGAAATAGAGATCCTTGAGCTGCACAGCAACTCGATGCTGCACGTATAACAAGTATGCATGTACGTACAACGTATATGTATTATATGTTATCTGAAGATAGAATTTAAATGATTTGCATGTTTTTTTGCGATATAATATGTACGTGCGCGATATTCAATTATTGATTGTATTAAATTTACTTTATGATCTAAATGAATGGTACGTACTAAGGAAATGGTATTTGAATCTTTAAGATATATTTACCATGATTCCATACCATGGACAAATATTAAATTATTTAAACATATAACATGAAAAATATTTCCGTATGACTCATATATAAGTTTTATTAGTTTTAATTTAGAGATACTGATTGGTAACGTTAAATTGTTTTAGTTTTTATGATACGGACGAGCACGCACCATCTGGCAATTGCAAATGTTTACTTTGGAAAACATTTTTTTTATATAATTGATTGTTGAGTACCCCAAAGTGGATGTTGTAATGAATCACGATGAACATCGGGATCAGATGAAAACATTTATCTTGATGTCATAATTACGGAGGAGACTTTTAATGGACCATCCTTGCTTTGCAGCGTCAAGTGTGAATCTATACTCGCATATATAATTATTTATTGATAAATACTGCACTTGTGAATCAAGATCCAGTAAAGTGTGTAAATATCTTCGTAATCTTTGCGACAGATTTTTTAAGATATTTCGTAGATTTTATTTGAAGATATATAAAATATATAGAACATATAAGACATATATTTCGTGCTACTAGGGGTTACGCATCGAGATTACAATTTGCATTCATCAGTAGATAGTTGTTAAAGACGTAAAGAGAAGTCACTTACCGACACGATACTGCAACGACCTTCGAGTCGCGTTACTCCTATCAGTAAGAGACATTAATCTACACAGACGTCCAATGACGCCGCTCGATTGCACTTCAAGTGCAATCGAATCGCAAATTGTTCAAAGCCCGAGCGAAATTAATCAGAAGAACAATCTTCCGAGTGATTTTTCCATTGGCAGATTTTCTTTCCGACAGGAGGCAGGATTTTTCCTGGTGCGCTCGCGTTTCCTCGTCCTTTTCATTATATCGAGGAAAATGAGTATTCAAGTCATTCGGCGGTGAAATGTCCCGTACAACAAGTGCTTGATTAAAGTGAAATCCGATCCCATCTAACCCAGAGTTTGCGTGTAGACCTCGTTCACTTTTTCCCTTACAGACCATTTAATTCCAGATTTTCAACAAATATATGTTAAATTAAATATCAGAGTTAGATTGCTTTATCAGGAAAAAAGTATTAGTGTTAGAAGAATCAGACATTTTTATTCGGAGCAGTTGAAGTTCTTTCCGAAATGTTTCATAAAGTGCGTTTAAATCTCTTAGAAGGCCTATTGCACAAAATAGTCGTGTTTTACGGATTATCATTTAAGGCGGGAATCTTTTAAGGTATTTTCGAAATGCTTCCAATTTGACAACCTTTGACTTAATGAAATGGCCGAAACTTCTCTTATATGAAAGTTTTCTCACATTTCCGAAATTTGAGTTAAAGTTCTTTCGGAAATATTTCATAAAGTTCGTTTAAATCTTTTAGATGTCCTATTTTAGGAAATAGTCCTACTATCCGGATTATCATATCAGGTGGGAATATTTCAGGTATTTTCGAAATCCTTGCAATTTCATAATCTTTAACTTACTTAATGAAATGGCCGAAACTTCTCTTATATCGAAGTCTTCTCATATTTCCGAAATTTGAGATAAAATTCTATCGGAAATGTTTCATAAAGTGCATTTAAATCTCTTAGAAGTCCTATTGTATAAAATAGTCGTATTTTACGGATTATCATTTAAGGCGGGAATCTTTTAAGGTATTTTCGAAATCCTTCCAATTTGACAACCTTTGACTTAAATGGCCGAATCTTCTCTTAAATCGAAGTCATCTCATATTTCCGAAATTCGGGTTAACCGGCCACTGGCCAGACTTGTCGGCTTGCTGAATCACGATTTGATCCCGCAATAATGTCCTTTAATGATAGTCTATTAATTCGCGTCGACTTGCTTTGTAAAACAGCCGAATCATCATTCCCGCGCAGATCTTTTGTCGTATTTTTGGAAGTCGGTTCACCCGATACCTGGTCAGATTTCTCCGTTGACTGCTGAATCACGAATTGGTCCCTCCATGGTATTCGATGAACATAATTCAACATTTCGCCGAGTTTCATCACTTCCGACGTCCACGGTGAACGTTTCTCGTGTCTTGACATAACTATGTACTTCCAGTAGCACACGTGTAGATGCATGCTATATGTGGCATTCCAGTGAAACATGACTCTCCAAGTTTCGCCCTCGTCGCGATTGCCGCTTTACGTGCCGTTGAAGATGGCTCGTGGCTGACAACGAATGACACGCGTCTATCTCCGACGAGAATTCCTTTCTCTATTGACTTGAAATAATTAGCAGGAACGACGATAAGCGCAATGAGTCTTTGCAAGAAAACCACTGGACTCGATCGCAAGATGCATCCCACCAAAAATTAATATAAAAAGAAATGGTAACAAGCCGAAGAAATTTTTTTCATACAGCGCTAGTGAAATGAAATTAGATAAATGCACTAGTTTTCATATTTTCATATTTCCTTGTATTTAATAAATGTAATCGATCGCAAGATGCATCCCACCAAAAGTGAATATAAAAAGAAATGGTAACAAGCCGAAGAAATTGTTTTCCATGCAGCGCTCGTGAAACGAAATTAGATAAATGCACTAGTTTTCATATTTTCATATTTCCTTATATTTAATAAATGTCTCGTTAGAGACGTACATGAGTCTCTAAAAATGGCATTTTCTTCTTTCTATTCTTAAGATTAAGTGAAACACGTCGAGGGACTTGATCAACGTCGGTAAAGACTATTTATCTAAATACCTACGTTGCCGGCATTCGTTTTTAAATTGACACCTCTGTGGAATTATATTGGGTATTGTACTAAATAGCATACTCCATATGTCGTTTTCGTGTAATAATTATAAGAAAATCGAAATAAAACTCCAGAAATTCTCTGGATTCATGCTTTCTGGGGCCCTAATTGACTGCAGAAGGACCCTCTGCGCCATCTGTGATTTCCAGGTCAACTAAATTTTTATTCCGAAACCTCGTATTACCATCGTTTTAACATAGCAACGCATAAGACACTTTTTTTGCCATTATCCCATTCAAATGCGAGTTTATCGATTTCCAGACTGTTCTAAATTGTCGTACAATTGTCCTGACACCTTCGTTTCTCATATTAGAGCGTTCAATAATTGTATATCGATCGAAATATGAGAGCTCGACGCCATTTTGATTCTGGTCTAGGCTTAGTCAAACGATTTGGTTTCGAAAATTCAAATTTTGGATGTGTCAGGACAATTCCTTGGTGCTCACGAGTTATGTGTCAAAGTTTTGGACGGTTCGGTTCAAAATCCTTAAAA